AAAAAAAAAAAAAAAACAAAACAAAACAAAACAAAAAAAACAGCACTGCACCTTCACTGGTGGGGATCTATGTGTTAAATACCTTGCCTGCAAGGCAATGTTCAGTTCCCAGTCACTGAAATTTTAGAGCCAGTAGCTACAAGGCCTTTCTACCTGCTGTTCTCTATCCTCAGACACACAGGTCAAAATCGAAGTCAATGTAGACTGAAACTCCTGTAATTTACAATCTCCAGTGCGTGGAGTAGAGCCAAAGGGCTCTTGGCTACAAAGTGTAAACAAACGAGTGTTGCCTCTTAATCTGGGTAATTGGTCCCAAATGCGGTTGCCACTTTTCAAAATAGGCTTTACATACTTTTTGAAAGAATCTGGAATCTTTCTTCATTGGCAGGGACAAGTTCGGAGTGTAATTTAGACTCTTCATCAGCACTAAAGACTCCTATGAACAGCCAGATGATTTCACCGGGTGAGGAGGGGGCTGGAGACACAGGGTTGGGGCCCACGGCGAGAGTTCCCCTCCATTTTTCCTACGTTGGTCCGTTTTCTTCCTCACACTTACTCTGTGCAGACCGCTGGCTGTTTATTTAACATCAGAGCTTCTGAAAGAACGGAGTCCTCCGGCCACTCCTGGAAGATGTCCACCAGGTTTCAGGAGCAGGCGAGATCTCATTCCCCAGGGTGTTCTTATCCATGCATATCTTGAGGATTATGCCCCAGTAATGAATTGGGCCTTGAAGCAGTTGTTTTGTGACATCATCTTTTTTTTTTTTTTCAAAGGTTTTTGCCGTAGAGCACACTTGCTCACAGGAGAGAGAGACGGAGGTACTGAGAGGGGAGGTGAGAAATCACCCCCTGAGGGGGGTAGTAAGCCACAATCCCTTCTCCTCCATTCTCCTCCTGGGATCTTGGGCATGCGTGCACATGCACCTGGCATGACTTTCAAGCCATTGGGTCCGGGGCTCAAACCATGGTTAGCCATGTGGGATTCCAGGGATGTAACCACTACACCATGTGTTGGCCCCATGATGTCATCTTCTGAGCAAAACCGTGGGGACGTTGTGTTAGGAAAGACAGTGTGGTATTGACAGGAGGGCAGGAGTGGGCAGAGCTCACAGGGTGATGGGCTGTTAGACCCTGGCAGGTAAGACAGCCTCTCCGAGCCTGTTTCTGTGTGTGTACAGATAATGGTACAGACCTTACAAATTCATCCAGATAATTGAGATAGAGAATATGAAGGTAATGGGGGGACCAGCAGTTGGCATAACGGCTATGTTGCTGGACTCCCATGTAGTCAGCCGCGGTCAGTCCCAGACCCAGTGGCTTAAACTCACACCGGGCGCATGTGCGTGCTTGCCCAAGATCACAAGAGGAGAATGGAGGGGAAG